CGCGTCGACATGGTCAGCGTCGCCGCGAGGATGGAGCAGCCCGCGCGCGCCTCCGCGCGGAACGGGAACGCCGCGTCGGGCGCGTACGTGGAAAACGTGAAGCTCTGGGGGCAGTCCTCGACGTCGCACTCGAGCGTCTTCGTCGAGACGACGGTCTCCGTGCAGGTCGTCGGGGCGGCCGTCGTCGGCGTCGTCGTCGGCGTCCAGGTCGTCGTCGTCGGGGCCGTCGTCGGCGCGGCGGACGGCGTCGCCGTCGTCGGCGCGCGCGTCGGCTTCGGCGTCGGCACGGGCGTCGGCAGGGACGTCGGGATGGCGGTGGGCGCGGGCACGGGCAGGCTCGTCGGGATGTCCTCGCAGATCCAGCAGTTGCGCAGCGTCGACACGACGTCCATCTCGCAGCCGTACGTGTCGTCGTAGTGCGTCTGGACCGTCAGCTGCTCGTCGGAGTTCAGGTAGGGCAGCGCGTCGATCTCGACGAACTCGTCGCAGGTCGAGAGCGTCGAGGCGCACTGGGCCGTCGGGACCGCCGTCACGTCCGTGGAGACGCTCGAGGCGGAGGAGATCGTGCCGTCGTCGGCGCTGATCGTGCGCGCGAGGGCGAGGAGCGCGAGGATGGTCGTGGAAGACATGGTGGTAGGTGGTCGGGTGGCTCGGGTGGCGGAAAGTGAGAGCGGTGCAACCGGTGTGGTTGGGCTTTTTGATGCCTCTCCATGCTCAGAAGCGGGCTGCCAAATTCTTTTTGCGTTTTTTTTGGCTCGCGCGTTCTCAGGTTGCCAGTGCCTCAATTGTGAATAGGGAAATGTATCAATTGGAGGCTGGTTGTTTCGGAGACCGAAGTTGTTGCCGGCGCCAGTGGCGGCGCGCGGGTGCGAGGCGACAGGTCGGGCGTCGCAGGGCTGCCAAGACAGGGCTGCCAAGACAGGATCGGCTGCCCGAGCGGTTGGGGCAGCGGACGGCTGCGAGCGCCTGCTCGAGCTGGCACAAGGCAGCCCAGCTAAGAGATCGTCCTGCGACGCGTGGGATCGCGCGAGCGCACGCCCGGAACGAGCACGCAGGCCCCTGCGCAGCCGGCGGCCTCGCGCCGTCGCGGCCACCAGGGGCGACGCCGCCACGGTCCGGCGAGTGCGTCGACTTGGCAGAGGCCGCGGACGGACCGCCGTCGAGAGCGAGCAGCCCGCGCGGGGGCTCGCCGCGGCCGCGCGCGGCTCGAATCGATGTGCGATGGTCGCCGACCGCCACTCGACGCGACGCGCGCGCGGCGCCTCGCGCACCGTCTCGGCGCCGCGCGGCCAACGTCGGGATCGCGCCGCGCGCCGTTCCTAGTAACCATCGTCGCGTCGTTGCGGCGACGCGTCGGGCCTCGCGCGGCCGTGCGCCTACCGCCCGCGACGGACGCCGTGGGCCCGGGGCGCCGTCTCCGTCACGTCCGCACGAGAGAGAGCCGCCTCGCCGCTGGCCTGGGTCGAGGCGCAACGGCGCGCGGCAGTACCCCCGCCGTCGCTCCGCGGCGTCGCCGCGCGCGGCGGCCGGGCTCGCGGCGGCTCGCGGCGCGGCGTCCGAGGCCTCGCGCGCGATGAGGCGCGAGGTTTACGTGCGGCGCGCCCCCGCCATTGGCCGGCACTTCCACCTCCTCCGAGTCGTGACCTCAACCGATCCGCGGCAGTGCGTATCCGTATATATCTGCCAACCACCCGCGCTCGTTTCTCCCAGCCACAGGCGCTGGAGACCATCTCCGGTGGTTGGCAGGGTTGGTCTGGGTGCTTGGCCGCCGGGGGCGCGGACGTCGCTCCGCCGTCGATAGGCATCAGCTCCCCGGTCGCGGGACGGTGAGGCGGGCGCGGCCGGGGGCGGCGGTGGTCGACGCGCTCCTCCCCGGTCGGGGCGGGCCCGGGCAGGCGCCATGGCGAAGAAGAAGCTGAAGCTCGTGATCAAGTGCCCGTGCAAGATCAAGCTGCCCATCTTCGATGAGGACAGCGCGGTCTACATCATCTGGAACATCATCCTCATGGCCGCGGTGATCTGGAGCTGCGTCAACGCTCCGCTCTCCGTGGGACGGTCGACGAACTGGGACAAGTCGGGGCACGGGGTCTCGTTCCGCTGCGGGGAGTCCTGCACGGAGCTCCTCAACTTCGTCAACCACCTCGTGGACCTCATCTTCCTCATCGAGCTCTTCATGCGCTTCGTCTTCCCCATCTACGACACCGCGCGGCGCCGCGCCCGGGAGACGGCCGGATACTCCCCCCCCCCGCGCCCCCCCCCCGCCCGCGCGACGCCCCCGCCGCCCGCAGGACGCGCGCGAGATCGTCGACGACCACAAGGCGATCAAGGATCGCTACACGCACAGCCTGCTCTTCTGCACGAACATTTTAGCGGCCGTGCCGCTCGTGACGTCCTTCGCGTACAGCGTGCCCTACGTGAAGATCGCGACGGACGTGCTGCGCATCACGCGCGTGTCCCACTTCAAGTCGACGATGATGGTGCTGCGCACGGTCCTCGTCCACAAGTACGACATCGAGGTCGCCGTCGCGATGATCCAGATGGTCGACAGCCTCAACTACCTCATCATCATGACGCTGATCCTGTGCTCCATCCAGTGGGGGCCGTCGCTGCCCATGAACGCCCACGAGCTGGCGTCCAACGCCATCATCATGACCGTGTCCCTCATGTTCTACGCCATCGTCTTTGCGAATTTGGCGAGTACGGTCGAGACGAACAACGTCGTGCTCAACGGCTTCAAGGCCGACATCGACCCCGTGAAGCAGTTCATGAAGGTGAACCGCATCGAGCCCATCCTCAAGAGCCGCATCACCATCTTCTTCGACTACCTCTACATCCGCCAGAGCGGCATGACGGACGACCAGATCCTGAGTGAGCTGCCGAAGGCGCTCCGGCGCGGCATCGCGAACCGGTCTTTGGGCCTGCTGAGCGGCGTGCCCTTCTTCAAGCCCGACATGCGGCCGCCGGAGTTCCTCAACTCCGTCGTCGACACCTTGTACGGCCGCGTCTACCTGCCGGACCAGTGGCTCATCAAGGCGCAGGAGGCGAAGCGGGAGATGCTGATTCTCCGCGAGGGCGAGGCCTACATCATGCACAACGGCGTCCAGCTCGCGGCGGTGACGGTGGGCGACTACTTTGGGGACTACCAGTGCGTGCTCGGCGGCAAGTACCCCGTGGGCCTCCGCGCGGGCGCGGGCTTCGTCGAGACGCTCGTGCTCACGTACGAGTCGCTCAAGTCGACGGTGCGGCGCTTCGCGCCCAAGGAGGACGACATCAGCGACACGCCCAACAAGAAGAAGAGCAAGAAGGACGCGGAGAAGGCCAAGGTGCCCACCGTGTCCATGCTCGACACGGACGCGGGCATCGTCGAGACGAAGCGGCTCTACCGCGAGACCATCGCGGCGTGGGGGTCCGCGTCGGGCGCGATGCCGCCGCCGCGGTCCTCCGCGGCGACGCTCGGCGCCATGCAGGGCGAGGACAAGGTGCCCTCGAAGCCCGCGGCGGCCTGGGGCGCGGGCAACGGCGGCGCGGCGCCCGCGGCGCCCAAGTCCGCGAGCCTCAACGACCAGGTCGCCGCGCGGCGGTCGCGCGCGACGATCGTGTCGACGGCGGGCGCGGGCATCTCCGCCGCCGACAGCGCCGCCGTCGGCGCCGTCGTGCCCCTGCCGAACATGGACATGGGCGCCGGCGAGGACAACGCGATGCTCATGGACCGCGCGGCCGCGTCGGGCCTCGTGATCCTGCCCGGCTCGTTCGCGCGCTTCGGCTGGGACATCTTCCTCTTCTTCGCGCTCATGTTCACCTGCGTGACGCCCCAGCTCCGCCTCTTCCGCCAGTACCGCGAGGGCAAGCTCACGGCGCGCTACATGCGCAACCGCGGCTGGCAGTCCGGCATGGAGGCGACGCTCGTGCTCGACTACTTCTTCGACATCTGCTTCGACGTGGACATGATCTTCCGCCTCTTCTTCTTCGGCATCAACACGGTCGTCGACGGCCGCGACCTGCTGTTGGTGGAGCGGTCCGCGATCACCGCGCACCACATGGAGAGCAAGCGGTTCCGCGTCGACTTCCTGAGCTGCGTGCCCATCGACCTCGTGGGCCTCTTCGTGGGCCACTGGTCCTACCTCCGCGTGCCCCACGTGCTCCGCTTCTGGAACATCAAGTTCTACATCACGAACATCACGGACTTCATCGAGGAGTACTACGTCGTGTCGCCGAACACGATCCGCGCGTGGATCATGACGTGCCAGCTCATCTTCATCGTGCTCACGGTGTCCAGCGTCTGCGGCATGACGGACACGGCCATCGCCGGCGACAACTACACGGGCAACATGCTCTACCTCATCCACGACTCGCTCGCGGCCTTGATGACCGTCGACTACGCGGCCGTCGTCGACACGGCCGTCGGCTCCGACTTCCAGACGCTCGGGCTCAACATCATCTTGGTGGCCTACTTCACGACCGTCGTCTCCAACTTCTCCATGATGATCCGCTTCGTCGACCTCACGGAGGCGAACACGACGCACAAGTCGAACGTGCTCAACGCGTTCATGCGCACGAACTACGTGTCGCCCGCGCTCAAGGAGAAGATCAACTTCTACATCGACTTTTTAGCCGAGGAGCGCGACGGCACCGACGAGATGGCCATGCTCAACAAGCGTTTACCGCTCAATTTGCGCCAGGACCTCATCGCGTCCATGCTGGAGCCCGCGTTCCGCAAGTCGCCGACGCTCCACGACCAGGACCACCTCTTCCTCTACGAGCTCATCGTGCGCATGGAGCTCCACTTCTTCGGGGTGGACGAGGAGATCGTCGAGTACACGCTGCCGGCGCCGGGCCTCTACATCATCCAGACGGGCGTCGTCGAGATCACCGTGGGCGCGTACCACGCGCGGAACCTGCGGACGAACGACACGTTCTGCGAGGAGGCGCTGCTCAAGCACGTCACCTACAGTCGCTACTCCGCGACGACGAAGGAGGTCACGGAGACCTGGCACCTCCAGCACCACCGCTTCACGGAGCTCCTCTTCCACTTCCCCGCGGTGCGCTACAACCAGCGCGAGCTCGAGAAGCGGCCCGTGCGCTACGAGATCGACCGCGAGCAGGGCTGCGTCAAGATCATCGACAACAACGGCAACTTCCAGCTCGCGGGCGACGCGGGCAAGAAGTCCAAGACGAAGATGTCGCAGCTCATCCAGCGCACGACGCAGCGCAACGCGCTCCTCACGGCCGACGAGTCGACGGCGCTCAAGAAGGGCGCGGACACGCTCAAGCTGGCGTCGTCGCGCTACAAGAACGCGGGGTCCCTGGGCCACGCCTGGAACTGCGTCGTGCTGTTCTTCGTGCTCTGGAACATCGCCATCGTGCCCTTCAACGCGGTCTTCCGCGAGGGCCACGACATCTCGCCCGTCGACGTGCTGCCCTACTACGTCGGCGACATCGTCCTCGTCATCGACGCCCTCGTCTGGCACTCGCACTGCGTCACCTACTTTTGGTCCAACTCGAAGCGCTACCGCAGCGGCCTCGCCGCGCCGCTCGCGATCCTCGCCGCGCTCCCGCTCGACGTGCTCTACTTCGCGATCCCCGGCAAGAACATGGGCTCGGCCCAGCGCCTCGCGTCCTGCCGCCTCAACAAGATGCTCCGGGTCATGGACGTGGGCTCCCTCGTCTTCGCGCTCGAGGCGGCCATCGAGCACGCGGGCGTCAAGGTGAGCGAGGACGCGCGGAACGTCGCGGTGCTCATCACGGGCTTCCTCTTCACGGCCCACCTCACGGCGACGGGCTTCTTCTGGTGCGCCAACAGCGTCCACCTCAACGGCAACGAGAACACGTGGGCCTACGACAGCGGCCTCCTCCGCCACTGCTCGCTCGGCGGCCTCGACGGCTGCGACAACATCGACCCCTACGCGCGCGTGCCCGACGACGGCCTCTGGGCGGGCAAGCCCCTGAAGCAGCCCCAGCTCGGCACGACGAAGAAGTTCTCCGGCGACGGCATCACGGACGCGTACACGGCCGCGCTCCTCTGGGCGTTCGGCACGCTCACGGCGCGCGACCAGAACTTCGGCGCGACGGGCGACCGCGAGTTCCGCTTCTCCATCTTCGCCCTCCTGCTGGCCACGGGCTTCTACGCCCTCATCGTCGCCATCGTCGAGGACGCGCTCTCGCAGACGGGCCTGTCGCGGTCGTTCTTCCTCCGCAAGGTGAACAAGGCGACGCAGTACTGCGACCAGCAGCACCTGCCCGGCGCCCTGCGGCGGTCCGTGCTCGCCTACTACGAGCGCCTCTGGGTCCAGCAGCGCGGCATCGGCGGGTCCGAGGTGCTCGAGATGCTGCCCATGAACCTCCGCGCGGACTTCATCGTCGAGGTCGCGGGCGACATGATCGCGTCGCTCCACGGCGTCAAGCCCTACACGGCGACGCTCGTCGCCGAGCTCGTCAAGCGCGTCGGCTTCGAGTTCTACATGCCCAGCGACATGCTCTTCCGCGACGGCGAGTGCGCGACGACGGTCTACTGCGTCACCGACGGCCGCGTGGAGCTCGTGGGCAGCGACCAGGTCGTCCAGGCGACGCTCGACTACAAGGGCAAGGAGCGGCTCCGGCTCAAGACCCAGAGCGACAAGTCGACCAAGGGCCAGAAGACCAAGTCCGAGCCCATCATCCTGGGCGAGGGCGAGTTCTTCGAGCGCATGCTCTACTCCATCTCCGTGCAGGCCGCGCACACGACGCACACGATCCAGCTCACCTACGAGGCCTTCGAGTCGTCCCTGGAGCTCACGATGCTCATCGGCGAGTACCGCGCGTACATGGCCAAGGAGGGCCAGAAGCTCGCGGAGCTCCGGACGGGCGACCGCTACATCCAGGGGTTGGGCGACGGCGCGGGCAAGAAGTCGAAGCGCGGCAAGAAGAAGCAGAAGGTCATCATGCCCAACGACCCCTTCCGCGTCGTCTGGCTCGTCGTCTCCATGTTGGGACTCATGTGGTACAGCACGACGATCCCGTTCCTCGTCGCGTTCGGCACGAAGAACAACATGGACGGCAGCAAGGGCCTGCCGTCGACGGTGCTCATCATCGACGCGCTGCTCACGCTCTTCTACATCGCCGACATCCCGCTGCACCTCCAGATGTTCGTGACGCGCTTCGAGGGCCAGATGGTCGTCAAGGTCGAGGAGTTCCGCATGATCTACATGAAGCACCACCTGCCCTACGACACGGTGTCGTTGATTCCGTTGGCCATCATCGGCCACCTGAGCGGCGCCGAGCGGTCGACCTGCGTCTGCCTCCGCGTCGTCCAGCTGTCGCGGCTCCGCCACAGTACGCGCTACGTCGACGACATCATCCGGCTGCTCGTCGAGGAGCTCAAGATCAAGTTCCTGGGCATGGCGGGCGTGGGCAAGGCGCTCCAGATGTTCATGCTCTTCTGCCTGACGATCCACTGGTGCTCGTGCTGCTGGTTCGCGCTCGCGCGGCTCGAGCGGTCGAACGGCAAGACGAACTGGATCGACACGTACTGGAAGTTCGGCGTCGACTCCTACGAGATGCGCTACCAGGACATCCAGTACAACGGGAGTTGGAAGTTCTGGTACCGCGCGTCCTTCACCTGGGCCTTCGCGACGTTCACGTCCTTTGGGGACCTGGGGGTGGACCCCGTGACGCGCGTCGAGCGGCTCTACCAGATCGCGATCATGATCTTCGGCGTGCTCCTGAGCGACGTGAACCTCCTCGCCATGCTCGCGTCCATCGTCGAGCTCGCGGCGCTCCAGCAGCACAAGAACCACCGGCGGACGATCTGCGCGCGGAACTTCATGGGCCGCCTCGACCTGGACCCGGAGCTCCGGCGCCGCGTGCTCGACTTCTTCGAGTACGCGGACAACGAGCTCCAGAATTTGGACGAGGCCCAGTTCCTCAACGAGATCAACCGGTCGCTCAACAGCGCCATCCTCTTCCACTTCGCGCACAAGAAGCTCTGCGACTCGATCAAGTTCGGCGCGTTCCAGGAGGGCATCGTCGCGTCGCTCGTGAACCTCATGATCCCCTACACGGCCGTGCCCGGCGAGCGCGTGCTCGAGGCGGGCACGAACGACGAGACCTACTTCATCCTCCAGGTCGGCCGCGCGTCCGCCGTCGACGCGTGCGGCGACGCGGAGGCCGTGCCGAGCGGCGCGATCCTGAGCAACGTCGAGTACCTCCAGGCCGCGAAGCGCGTCGGCGTGCCCAAGCGCAAGCTGACCATCGACGTCTTCCGGGGCAGGAACCTCACGTCCATGGGCATGATGGGCGCGACGCACCCCTACGTGATGGCCGTCGTCAAGACCCAGACGTCCTTCGGCGTGAGCTACAAGCAGGCGTCGACGTCCGTGCGCAAGTTCACGCGGACGCCCGAGTTCAACGAGTCCTTCTCCGTGAAGATCTACAAGAACACGGAGGAGGCCGAGATCAACCTCATGCACTACCGCCGGGGCCTCAACGGCCAGTTCATGGGCAAGGTCACGATCGACCTCATGGACGACGGCTCCTGCAAGCGCCAGTGGCACAAGCTCAAGAACGAGAAGGAGCAGCTCGTCGGCGAGATCAGGATACGCGCGACGCCCGAGGACCTGCCGCCCGAGTCCATCGCGAAGAACGCGGAGGTGTCCATCGTCGCGGACACGTTCTGCCACTTCTACAGCCTCGACTCCAAGTCCCAGGACGACCTCAAGCGCTACATGAAGGCCATGCGCCTGCCCCTGATCAAGCGCCTCCCCGAGGAGCTCCGCGTGTCCGTCGCGAAGAAGCGCGAGCGCGCGCTCGCCAAGGCGCGGAACCTCGGCCGCGCGATCAAGATGGGCATCATGCCCAAGCCCGCGCAGGAGCCCGCGCCCGAGGCCGCGGCGTCGCCGCCGCCCAAGGCCGCGGCGGCGCCGCCGCCGTCGTCCAAGCCCGAGCAGAAGGAGGACGAGAACGTCGTCGTCGAGGTGCTCAAGGACAAGGCGCCGGCGACGTCGAGCGCGGTCGAGGTCATCAAGGACAAGGCCGGCGACGGCGCGGCCGCGCCCGGCGGCGCCGCGGCGCCCGGCGACGCGCCGCCCGGCGACGACGAGGAGCTCGACGACGACGAGCCCATCCTCGAGGCGCCGGACCAGGAGGCGGACGAGATCAACGCGCTCGCGAACTCGATGTTCAAGACCAACGTCGAGACCGCCGAGCAGAGCTCCATCACGGGCCTGGGCGCGGGCGCCGACTCCGAGACCATCAAGATCACCCAGGGCGCCCTGCGGGCGACCATGCGCCGGACCATCACGGGCCGCGCGTCGATGGCCGGCGGCCGCGCGTCGCAGGCCGGCCGCGCGTCGCAGGCCGGCGCGGCCGCGGCCGCGGCCGCGGCCTCCGGCGGCGCCGCGGCGAGCCCGCGCCGCGCGTCCAACGTCGGGCGCGTCGCGCCCCGCACGTCCATGCGCCACGGCATCGGCCAGACCATCCAGCGCCCGCCGTCCGTCATCGGCGTCAAGCACGCCGCCGACAGCCACCCGCCGCCGCGCGCGTCCATGTTCGCCCACCGCACCCGCATCGAACCCATCGGCGAGGACCACGACGACGACCACGCCGAGCCCGCCCCCTCGGCATGATCGCGCCGCGCGCGCGCGCGGAGCCCGGCGCGCCGGCGGCCCGCGGGCCCGGCGCCGGCCGCCGCGCGGGCGCCGCCACCACCCCACGCCCGTCGGCGCCCCCCCCAACTCCCCACTTCGCACGAGCCCGACGGAGACGACGCCAAAAAAAAAGAAACCATCCGCGAACAGACGCCCCGCCGCGCCCGCCAGATCCACCGGGCGCGCGCGCTAACTTCCCCTCGTCTTCGTACCATCCCGCATCACCGACGCGACGAGTGGGGAACGGTTTTGACTCGGGCGTCGCGAAAACGAGTCGTAAAGTCGGGGAGTTTTTTTTGGGGGCACGATTGGGACGCCGGGCGGCCACGAGAGAGTTTTGGGGCCGAAGGGCGAGGTCTGTGAGCGTGTGGGTGAGCGCGTAAGCTTGATTCTGCTGATCTCTCTCTCCCCGATTTTGGTGTGGAGGAGCGGAGCTTCAGTGCGGACCGCGCGCGAACCCCCGCGACCCGGCCGTCTCGACGCGCGACGCGGCGCTCCGCCCCACCCCCCCGCGAGACCCCGACTAGTCCCAGACGACGCGGAGCGCGTGGTCCCCCGGGGCGAGGTCGACGGTGAGGAGGCGCGCCGCGGCGTCGTAGGCGAAGGCCGCGGCCGCGCCGTCGACGGCGAGGGACCGCGGCTCCGCGGACGCGTAGGCCGCGAAGGCGCCCGGGCCGAGGGCCGCGACGTCCGCGGCCTCGCCGTCGACGGCGGCGGCCCTCACGGCGCCGCCGCCGTTGAGCATGGCGGAGAGGCCGAGCGGCGCGAACTCGACGCCGGCCGGCGTCGCGAGGACCCGGCGGACGGCGTAGAGCTCGAAGGCGCCCGGGTCGAGGGCCCGGGGCGTCGCCGCGGCGCCGGGCCCGCGGAGGATCTCGAGGGTCTTCGCGCGGAAGGCGTAGGCCGCGAGGGGCGCGCCGTCGTCGCGCTCGCGCCACGCGAGCGCCGCGTCGGCGCGCGCGAGCGCCGCGTCGACGGGCGCCGCGTCGCCGGCGACGAAGCGGCGCTCGTCCCAGGACCAGGCCGAGCCCTGGACGTTGTAGAGGCCGACGACGGCGCCGTCGTCGCCGTTGGGCGCCGCGAGCGCGAGGTGGCTCGCGCCGTCGCGCGCGACGTCCGCGAAGAGCGCCGACGCGCCGACGCGCGCGGGCGCCGTCGCGACGAGCGTCGCGCCGTCGGGCAGGGCCAACGCCCGGAGCACGGCGTCGTCGTGGGCGCCGGGCTTGTCGGACACGGTCACGGGCCCGCCGGAGTTGGCGCGCGCGGCCGCGTGGAGCCACGCGGCGGGGTGGTCGCTCTGGAACATGTCCCAGTCCGGCAGCACGATGGGCGACAACAGGAGCGAGTTGTAGGCGCAGGCCGTGAGGTGCCAGCGCCAGGACGGCGCCTCGCGCGGGTAGAAGTCGTCGGACGCGCGCGCGAGCGCCGTCGACGCGTAGCGGTAGAGCTGCTCCGTGCAGTGGCACATGCAGTTCGACACGGCCACGGCGCCGCCGTCGCCGAAGTGCGCCGCCCCGGCGCCCTCCATGGCCTCGACGAAGAGCCGCGCGGCCTCGGGGCCGCCGCCGCGGCCGCCGCCTAAGGCGCCGACGCCGGACTGCGCGTCCGCCTGGGCAGCACAAGGGTGATTCAACGTCGCTTCAACGTGAGTGTTCCGCGCGCGCGCGTTCCGGAAGAAGCATCCACGCTTCGAGACCGTTCCGAGAGATGATCGCTCGTCCAAAAATCAGCCGAAACGAGTGGAAAACGGCCGAGATATGAGCCTTTGAAGTTGGGAATTTCGCTTTCTTTTGCTGCCCTGGCGTCCGCCTTGACGCCGTCGACGCCGCAGCGCGCGAGGGCGCCGTAGAGCCCGCCGTAGAGCTCGGCGATGGCTTTCGGCGTCGTCGGCGTCAGCGCCCCCTTGAGCGTCGCCGGGTCCCAGCCGATGGCCGGCTCGACGGCCGCGAGGTGCGGCGTCGCGCGCGCGCGGACGCGGCTCGCGGCCGGCGTCGCCGCGCCGCCCCAGTAGCCCGCGGACGCGTGCCAGCAGGCGACGTGGTCCACGCCGTGGGTCCCCTTGGCGACGTCGCGCACGAAGGCCGCGAGGCCCGCCTCGCCGCCGAACTTGGCCGCGTGGGGCCGCGGCGGCCACGCGAGCGCCTTCGTGAAGTCCGTCGACTCGTCGAAGAAGTGGCAGAGGGGCGCGCGGAGCACCGTCGTCGCCGCGAGGCGCCATAAGAGCACGCCCGCGGAGTTCGGCGGCGCGCGCTCGACGTAGCGCGCGTAGGCCGCGCCGACGAGCTCCGCGAACTTGCGCTGCGCGCGCGCCGCGGGGCCGTCGTACATCTTCTCCGCGGCGTTCCCCGCGGAGTTCGCGGCCGTGAGGATCTCGCCGCTGAGGTTGAGGGCGTCGTCCGTGTCGCGGTCCAGGGCCATCCAGCCGTCGTCGATGATGAGGCGCCGGCACTTGACGCCCGCGGCGCCGAGCGCCTCGAGGCCCGCCTCGACCTTTTTTGCGGAAACGGAGCTGTAGAACGCGTCCCAGGTGCACCAGCCTAAACCGTCGACCATGCGCCGCGGCACGGCCTTGGCGCGCCGCGGCGCGAAGGTCCCCGTCCGCGCCGCCGCGGCCTCGACGGCGCGCTCCACGAGGCCGTGGACCTGTGCCGGAAACAACCAGTGGAACGCCCTGTCCGGCGAAAACTTCACAGCTCTCTCGCTCGGTCGCGTCGAAGTCGTTTCGGCCGATTTTTGGACGGATCGTTTTCTCTCGGCGAGTTCCCTTGAGACGGTGAAGAAATACGTCGGAACCGTTCGAATACATGCATTTTGAAGTCGCGTTGCATAGTTTTGTTTCCTGCTCAGCCGCGGACGCAGCCCGCGTCACCGGACCGCGTCGCCGACACGTGGACGGCGCCGTCGAGGTCCGCCGCGGCGACGGCGCCGTCGCCGCTCTCGCAGCGCAGGATGAGGCGCGTGCGCTTTTCGCCGCCGCGCGCCTCGACGGCGCCGCGGAGCGTGCCCCGGAGCCGGCCGCCGCCCGTGAGGAGCGGGAGGAACGCGGCGTACGTCCGCCGGCCCGCCGCGTCCGCGTCCGCGCCCTCGACGACGACGAGCTGCGTCTCCAGGGGCACGTCCCCGAAGGCCGGCGCCATCCACCAGCGCTTGTTCCGCGCGACGCTCAGGAGCCGGCCTTGGGGCAGGTAGCCCAAATCGACGTCGACGCGCGCGCGCGGCCGCCGGAGGCCGAAGCTCAGGAAGACGCCGCCGCCCGCCTCGGCCTCGCGCCCGACCTCGGCGTCGCCGAGGGCCACGGCGCGCCGCAGGCGCCGCGCGCCCGGCTCGAGCACCGTCGCGCCGCCGACGACGACGCTGCCGTCGCCCCGCACGGCGGCGCCGCCGCCGGCCGGCGCCCGCGGCGCCGGCACGGCCACGGACGCCGCGTAGAGGGCGCGATGGCTCGTGTGGCGCGACGGGATCTGCAAGGCACCGCCGACGCAGAGCCAGGCCATCCACACGTGCGCAAAACCTGATGTCATCGTGCCTCTCGACGCTCTGTTACAGGCACAGCTTCAATCGAGTTCAGCGTGTACCTCAAACGGGTCGCCGATTAGTATTATTATTATTATTATTATTGGTGATTTAGCGTCGGAGGAGCCGCATGCCCAAGAGCACACACGGCCTGTAGGCCTAATATTGCCGCAGGAACCCCGATTCGCCTCCCGCCGCCGCGTCAGTTCAGGCTCCCGCGGCAGGTCGGCGCGCCGCAGTGGCAGGGGATCTTGTCGTCCTCGAGCTCGAACTTGTAGTCGTAGCAGAGCTCCTCGCCGGGGAGGATGTCGCGCTTCGCGTAGAGGGCGATCTTCTTCCGCTTCGCGTGGACGACGATCTGCGTGACGCAGTTGGGCGCGCAGGAGTGGTTCACGAAGCGCGCGAGCGACCCGACGCGTCGTCTCGTCGTCGACGCGGAAGAGGTAGTCGATGCGGCCCTCGGCCTCGTAGCGCGCCGCGCGCGCCTCCGCGACGGCGGCGCCGACCTCCTCGCCGCGGTACTCGAGGACGAAGGTGCCCGCGGCGACGGGCTCGTCCGCGAAGACGCCCCACGCGTGGATCTTCGACCGCGCGAACCGCAGCCGGAGCCGCCGCGTCTCCGCGTAGACGCCGCCTCCGAACGGCTCGTGCTCCGAGCCGCCGAGGCCCCCGAGCCGCGCCATGGACCGCCGCTCGCTCCGGTATGCGCGGCCGCGGCTCGCGGACGCCCGCGCGAGCGCCTCCGCGGAGCCGGCGGCCGCCCGCGTCGCCTTCTTCGGCGCGGCGGCGAGGCGCCGGCGCGCCGGCGCGGCCGCGACCGGCGCGGCGGCGGCCGGCGACTTCGGCGGCCAGGGCCGGCACCGCGCCGACGGCTCGCGCTCGCCGTCCGAGTCCGAGTCCGACTCGCTGTCCGACTCGCCGAAGATGGCCTCCGTCATCGTCCGCGGCGCCTTGGGCGCCGCCGCCTTCGGCGGCTGCGCCGCGCGCCGGGCCGCGGCGGCCGCCGCGTCGCGCGCGCGGAAGAGCTCGCAGTGCGAGCAGCCGCAGGGCCGCTCGACCGCGGGCGGCGGCGGCGGCGGCGGCGGCGGCGGCGCGACCGCCGGGCGGATCGCGGGCGACGGCGCCTTGGCGTTCCTCTTCGGCGCGGGGGCCTTCGCGGGCCGCCCGCCGCCCTTGGCCGGCGCCTTCCGCGGCGCCTTCTTCGCCGGCGCCTTGCGCGGCGACTTGCTGCCCCGCGCCGGCTCGGCGACGAACTGCTGCTGCGTCTTACGCTTCCGCGAGCCGAAGCAGATGTTGTCGAGGTCGAGGCCGCTCTCCGTGTTCCAGCCGCTCAGGAAGTCCGACATCGTCGGCGCGGATGCGGTCGTCGGCGCGAGCGCGGTAGCAAGGCCTTAATTAGGCGCGAGCGGCGGGCCCTGCACGGCCGCTTTTGAGGCGATCATCACCATCGGAGAGCTGCAACATGCAGCATCAACGTTTGAGGAGCAGCCCCTCTACGTCTCTCTCTTCGAGGTGGACCACCCAGAAAGACCGATGTCGTCGTTCCAGCGGGCCGAGATGTCCGCCGTGGAGCGCGAGACGAGCGGCGAGACCGTCGACACCTGCGCGTCCCCCGCGCCCCCGTGATTCGCCAAAGAGAGCGACGCGGCCGCCCGCGCAGACGCCCAGGCCTACATGAAGCAGCACGGCGCGGCGCCGAAGCCCGACTACGAGGCCCAGCGCGGTCGCCGCGTCTTTCCCGCCGTCGCGGCGCTCCCCGGACGCGGCGCCGCAGGTACGCGAGCGCCTTCATGAAGGAGGCGCTCAAGGACACGAGCATCTCGACGCAGGCCAAGGTCGAGAAGGTGAAGCGGCTCAAGGCGCTCACCGTCGACGAGCCGTGCCCGACCATGCCGACCTACTCGGCGCTCAAGGGCCCCATGGCCGCGTAACCTAGCCGGGGCTCCCGCGGGCGGGGCGGGGCGGGCCCGCGGCCGGCGGCCGCGCGGCCGCCGGCCGCTTCCGCGCGCGGCCGGCCGGCGAGCCCGTCGACGCGAGGCGCGACGACGCGCCGGGGGACCGCAGCGGCGGCGGCGGCGGCGGCGGCCGGCCGTAGGCCGCGTCCTCGCGCCGCTGGGCCGCCGCCTCCGCGGCCGCGATGGCCGCGAGGAGGTCCGCGGAGAGGAGGTCCGCGCCCGCGTCCGCGCAGGACGCGCGGAAGGCGTCGGCGAGGCCCGGCTCGGCCGCGAGGCGGTCCCGGGGCCCCGCCGCGGCCCGCAGCGCGCCGTCGAGCCGCGCGACGGCGATCTTCGTCGCCCGGAGCGTCGCCGCGCGGTGCGCCAAAAGCGACGTCGACCCGCTCCCGAGGAGGCCCGCGAGGTGGCGCAGGCAGGCGCCGGCGAGGGCCCGCGCCTCGGCGGCGTCGCGGACCGCGCGCGCGGCCGCCGCCGCCTCGGCCTCGCGCGCGGCGGCCGCCGCGGCCGCGAGCTCCGCCGCGGCCGCCGCGCGGCACTCCGCGGCGACCGCGGCCTCGACCACGGCGCCGAGGAGCGCGGCCTCGCGCGCCTCGGCCAGCGCCGCGGCCGCCGCGCCCGCGATCAGGTCCGGCGCGACCTCGAGGTACGCGCCGCCGTAGACCGTCTCGACGCGCCGCTCGAACATGTAGCGCGCCGTCTCCTCGCGGACGAACTCGCGCGCGATCGCCGGCGCCATGGCCCGCACCTCCTCGGCGACCAGCTCGTCCAGGATCCGCGGCAGCAGGTGCGTCTGCTCCGCGCGCAGCTGCTCGCGCGCCGCGAGCTGCAGCGACAGCGCGCAGGTCTGGCGCAGCAGGCGCTCGACGGTCTCGCCGACGAGGGCCTCGCCGACGGACTCGATGAAGGGCTGGAGCGCCGCGAGCAGGGCCTCCTTGGGGTCGATCGTTCGGGTGGCATGCCCAGGGTTGGTACCCATCTCGGACAAAGGAGCGGCGTGCCCCGGATGGGCAGCCATTTTAGCCGCGGCCGACGGGTTGAAGGGAAACATGCAGTGCCGACGAATTCTACTAGTAGTTGCGGAAGCTTGCCGAAGAGAGCTCATCGCCTGCGCGCTGTTGATGCGGCTCTTCCTCGCCATGCTCGCGTGCGTCCGCGCGCTGCGGTCCGTCCCGGGCCTCCGCGGTGGCCTCGCGTCGTCGCTCAAGGCGTCGACGCGGCCCGCGGCGCCCCTGCGGTCGCTGGCGGCGTCGGAGATCCAGCGCGAGGGCTGGGGCGCCCTCGGGCTCTACGAGGGCCTCGTCGACGCCGTGGAGACGCTGGAGCTCACGGCGCCGTCGGAGATCCAGAAGCTCGCGATCCCGCGCGTGCTCGGGCGCGAGGACGTCATGTTCGCGGCCGAGACGGGGAGCGGGAAGACGCTCGCGTACCTGCTGCCGGTCCTGAGCCGGCTCAAGGCCGAGGAGTTCGCGGCCCTGAGCGCCGGCGACGGCCTCGGCGACCTGCGCCAGCCGCGGCGGCCGCGGGCCGTCGTGCTCGTGCCCACGCGCGAGCTCGCGGCGCAGGTGCTCCAGGTCGCGAAATCCGTCGCGCACGTCTGCAAGGCGTCGTGCCGGGGCTGCTTCGGCGGCAGCGACGGCGTCGGCAAGCAGCGCGCGAAGCTCGGCAGCGCCCCCTACGATATTCTGGTTGCGACGCCGGGCCGCTTCGTGAAGCTCTGGGAGCTCGGCGACGTCCACGTGTCGCGCGTGTCGACCGTCGTCGTCGACGAGGTCGACACGATGCTGAGCCAGGGCTTCGGCGCGGACCTCGAGAAGATCCTCAAGGCGACGAAGCGCATCGCCAAGAGCCGCGCCAAGGCCGAGGGCGGCGACGCCAAGCCCGCGCAGCTCGTCGCGACGACGGCGACGATGACGAAAGCCGTCAACAAGGCGCTCGGCCCCAGGGGCGCGCGCGCGGAGAACTGGGCCTTCCTCCCGGAGCTCGGGTTCGTCGAGTCGTCCCAGCTCCACCGCGCCATCGCGACGGCGCGGTTGGACACCGTCGACGTCGTCGGCAAGGACAAGCTCGCGGCCCTTTCGACTTCTTTACAGGGCGGCAAGGGCGCGGCGCTCGTCTTCTGCAACACCGTGGGCGCCTGCCGCGCCGTCGAGCACGGCCTGCGCGAGCGCGGCGGCGACGGCGACCTCTTCTGCTACCACGGCGAGATGAACTCGCTGGAGCGGGAGGCGTCGCTCGCGGACTTTCGCGCCGCGGCGGCCGCCGGCGGCGCGGCGACGCTCGTCTGCACGGACCTGGCCGCGCGGGGCCTCGACGTGCCCGACGTGCCCCGCGTCGTCATGTTCGACTTCCCGCGCAACTCCGTCGACTACATCCACCGCGCGGGCCGCACCGCGCGCGCGGGCTCCAAGGGCGTCGTCACCGCGCTCGTCGCCAAGCCCGACCGCGTCCTCGCCGCGGCCATATCGCGCGCCATCGCCAACGGCGAGCCCCTCCACGAGCTCTCCTCGGACAAAAAGGCCTACCAGCCCGGCGGCTCCCACGCGCCCAAGGCCGACCCGAACTCGCGGCGGCGCAAGGCCGCGAAGGACCTCGACCGCGCGGCGCGGCACCGCGGGCCCCCGCGGAAGAAGAAGCGCCGGGGCAGCTGAGCTCCTAACGTCCCCGTTCGCATCGAAGAAAAACAGCCCTTAGGGCGCTACGAGGCGGAGCTGCTCCAAGATGACGAAGACGAGGACCATGTGGGGCCCGAGGCGGAGGAAGTGGGAGCCCGCGCCCTTGTAGAACGCCGTCGGCCCCTCCGCGGCGAGGATCTTGCGGAAGGCGTCGACGGCGTCGGCGTAGCGCGCGTTGCCCGCGGGCCCGTTGTAGACGCGCGTGCGGACGACGTCCGCCGGGTTGCAGAACGCGATGGACACGCCCGCGGACGCCGCGGAGCAACACCCGTGGACGGCCGGCGAGTCCGCGTCGAGGCCCGCGGCGGCGCAGCGCCGCTTCAGCTCGTAGTAGGCCGGCAGCTGCGTGCCCGGGCCGAGCGCGCCGCGGAGCGTCGACACGCCGAGGCCCTTGGCGCACGCGCGCCAGCCCTCGTCGGCGACGAGGCGCCGGAGCGACGCCCAGAAGCCCGCGTTCGAGAACGCGGCGTGCTGGTGGCCCGTCGCGCCGCCGAGGGCCTGGAAGCGCACCTTGAGCACCTCGACGGGGTTCGCCACGCAGCCGCCGAGCGACCCGCAGAGAAAGCCCGCGGCCATCGGGTGCCCGACGACCGCGAGCGCGGGCTCGAAGGAGCCGATGCGCGCGCAGTTGAAGGCGAACTCGCGCGCGACGCCGAAGCGCAGGCCGGACCACAGGTTGCCGACGCCGCCGGCCCGCCAGGACTCGCGCACGCAGTCGAGCCAGCCGCCGTAGCGGCCCGCGGAGCCGCGCGCCTGGAGCTCGTTGTCGAGCTGGAGCCGCACCTTCGTCAGCTCGAGCGGGTGGCTCACGCAGACGGCCAGCGACCCGGCGACGGCCGGCAGGCCGAACTGCTTCAGCGTCGCATAGGCGTTCATCGCTGCGACGGCGAGAGCTGGGACGCCAACGGCAAGCCCAAGAAATTCTTGCAACTGGATCTCCGAGAGCTCCGACGCGCGCTGCGGCTAGAAGTTTGACGCGGGCGTGCGAGCTACTTATGCTCGCGCAGCGACGGCGACGGAAGTAGCAACCAGCACATACGATCAATCAACGAGCGAAGTTGAGGTTCAACTTGCACCAACGTTGCTCCACCCGGCGTCGAAAGGCAAGCTCGCGGTCGAAGCGACTTAGGTGCCAAAGTCCATGTCGTCGTCGTCGGAGTCGGGGCCGTCGTCGGAGTCGCCCGCGGGCGCCGCCGCGGGCGCGGCCGCGGCCGGCGCGAGGGGCGGCGCGCGGTCGAGGGCGATGAGGTCGGCGACGAAGGGCCGGAGGTCGTCGAGCCGCGCGCGGAGCGAGAGGTCGTCGCCCGCGCCGCCGCCGTCCTCGTCCTCCGCCGCGAGGAGGCCCAGGAAGGAGAAGGCCGCGCGGCAGAGGCCGAGCGCGAAGGCGAGCGCCGCGTCGCCCTTGGCGTCGCGGGGCCGCACGCCCGACGCGAGCGCGTCGCGGAGGAGCCGCGCCTCGACGGCGAAGCCCAGCGCCGCGTCGGCGGCGTCGTAGAGCGCGGCCCGCACGTCGAGGAGCGCGTCCGGCGCGCAGCGCGCCGCGAGGTCGCCGCCGCCGCCGTCGCTGTCGTCGTCGCTGCCCGAGTCGCCGCCGCGCTCGCCGACGAGCGTCCGCGCGAGGCGCTCGAGGAGGCCCAGGCACAGCGGCGCGACGTTCGCCGCGCGCTCGAGGCGCCCGGAGGCCCAGGCCGCGTCGGCCTCGAAGAGCGCGACGGCCTCGTCGAGCGCGAGCCGCGCCTCCGCGGCCGCGGACCGCGCGACGAGGCGGAGCACGGCGCCCTCCTTCTCCGCGAGCCAGTCGTCGCCGAAGCCCGCCGCGGCGACGGCGGCCGCGCCGAGCGCCGCGTCCCGGTCCGCCTCCGCCGCGCCGCCCCGAAGGAGCAGGCGCGGCAGCGCCGCGCAGACCGCCGCCCGCGCGGCGCCGAGCGCCGCCGCGCTCTCGGAGCTCAGCGCGGCCGGCCGCGCGGGGCCCGCGAGCGTGCTCGCGCCGAGCGCCGCCGCCTCGATGAGGCGCGCCTCGCGGGCCCAGAACCGCGCGTCGCCGCGCACGGCCTCGGCGAGCGCCGCGACGCGCGCGAGCTCGGGCGTGCCCAGGAGGCCGCCCGCCGCGGCGACGCGCAGCAGCGCCGCGACGTCCGCCCAGCCGCCGTCGTCGCTCGCCGCCGCGAGCGCGACGACGGACGACCCGTGGACGCCCGACGCCGCGAGGGCCTCCGGGTCGCCGGCGACGAGCGCCGCCAGGCAGCCGACCGCCGCGGCGCCGTCCGCGCCGTCCGTCGCGGCGCTCGCGCCGTCCGCGCCGTCCGCGTCGCCGCCGTCCGCCTCGCCGTCGCCGCCGTCGCCGCCGCCGCCGTCGCCGCGCTCCGCGACCGTCGCCGCGTCCGCGGCCCGGCCCGCGAGCTCGCCCACCGCGGGCAGCACGTCGGCGCGGAGCGCGGCCCGCGCGCCGTCGGCGCTGGACGCGAGCTTCGCGGTCACGTGGAGGCCCGCGCGCTGCGCGGCCGTCAACGCGTCGCCGTCGCCGCCGGTGCGCAGGAGCCGCGCGAGGAAGCCCGCGAGCTTCGCGGACACGTCCGCCGCGACGCTCGCGAGCGCCGCGCCGTCCTGGCGCGCCAGGAGCAGCAGGCCCGCGACCTTGTGCTCGTCGCTGGCGCCCGCGAGCAGCGCGAGGCACGACGCGAGGGTCGGCGCGCTGGGCTGCGGCGGCGGCGGCGGCGCGGGCTGCGCGTCGTCGTGCTTCTGCTCCTCCTCCATGGCGACGAGCTGGGAGCGGCGAGAGGCGTCCATGGTTGTTTTAGCTGCGCTGGTTAGAAGGCCTCCTTTGCTGCGCTGGTTAGGCCTCCATAAGCTTCCGCTCGCCGAAGACGAGCATCAACTTGATGGCAAGTTACCGAGGGCCGCCCTGGACTCCTGCGGCGTCGCCCCCCCCCCCAAACTCCGCGGCGGCGCACGCGCGCGTCGTCGCGTCCGCGAGGAGCTTGTCGCCCTTGAAGACGAATTGGCCCGTGCGACCGGCTGAACTCGGACGCCGCGAACTTCTTGAAGCCCTGTCCGTAGGGCCGGCGGACTTCGTCGTGCTTGGCCAGGACGATGAGAAGAATGTCGCGGGCCTCCTGGTCTTCCCCCTTGGCCTTGAGGACGGTGTAGTACTTCTCGCCCTTCTGCTTAGGCACTGAGCCCGCTCGCATTAGGGGCGGGCGCCCACGGGTGCCCAGCGGATACCTCGCCGGCGGGCCCTCCTCAGGCTCGGGCGATGGATCTCTCTCCCGACGGATCGAGCCGGAGTCCCTTTCTCTCACGCCATCGCCAAGGCCGAGTGGCTCGCCGAAGAAAATTACCACAAGCACGAGAGGGCCCTCATGGGCCCCGAGTTCGACAAGCTCATGGCCGCCATCGGCTACGTGCCGAAGGTACCTGGCAAGACGCCCCGAATCGAGTTCTTCCGCGCCACGGAGCACGGGAGCTGCCTCTGGCGCGACCGAATCCACCGGCACTACGTGTACGCCGCGGCAGCCCCGCGGAGACGAGGCCCGCGCGGTGGAATTTGGTCGACGCCAGAACCACCTCCGATGGGGGCACCGACGGTCAGGCTTACGCCTAGGGGTCATGGAAGGCCACTCCGACCACCAGAGCGGGCTGCCGTGCGTCGGAAGCTTGGGCTCAGAGGTCTCCGCTCCCGGCCCGCGCGTACGTGTTTGGTACTCAAGCCAGCGAAACGGCTAGCCATTCGTCCCAATCCGAGCGCTTGTTTTTGTCACGTATAGCCACCGGGCGTCCCTGGCCGCTAGCCAAAAACCGCACGTTCGGGCGTCCGACGCGTCGGCCATCGGACGCCGTCGCCGGAGCAAGACCCCCCATAGCGACTCGCAAAGCTCTTTGGCAATGATGGACGAGCCCAGCGAGCCCAGCAGCGGCGACGCCGCCGCGCCTTGGCCGCCGCACGACGACGCAATGCCGTCCAGCGCGCTCACGACGACGACGTCCAACGAGATCGCGCTGCTCGACACCGTCGACGACCAGATGACGGCCTTCGCGCGGTCGACGATCACCTTCACGGACAAGATGGCGAGCGGCTTCGTCAAGTTCCTGATCTTCTACGCGATGCTCTGCTGCCACGTCGTGCGGACCATCGGCCACGTGCCGAGCTGCGGCGACGCCGAGCGCGCCGCGGGCCGCTGCGCGCGGCCCTGGGCCGCGGGCGCCGTCGACGTCTTCGTCTTCGCGTCCATGTCCGGCGACCCCAAGGAGTCGCGGGGGAAAGCGCCGGTCTACGCGGCGCGGAACGTTACAACTTTGGACGCGTCCTTCGCCGTGCCCGTGCCCGCCGCCGTGCGGACGCGCGGCGGCGCTGTGCTCCACGCGCACGTCTTCGTCGCGCCGCCGCGGCGTAACGCGACGTGGGAGCCGAGAAACGACACGACGCTGGCGGCGTCGGCCTACTGCGTCGGCTCCGTCGAGCTCACGCGGCCGGCCAAGGTCGCGAGCCGGCGGGACCGGCCGCGGAGCTTGCTGGAGGGCGAGCGCGAGGAGGACGAGGACGCGGACCAGATCCGGCCGCACTGGAAGTTCACGACCTTCGCCCCCGTGCTGCGGCTCCTGGACGTCGGCGGCGACGGCGCCCTGCCGAGCCGGGTCGCGCGCGAGGGCCTGCCGAACCTGGGCGTGGCCTTCGACGTCCGCGAGCGGCGGGGGTCGCTCGCGTACATGCCCGCCGCGTTCCTCGACGAGACGCTCGTGCTCGAGAAGCACGCGCGGCCCATGTCCCGCAACGTGAGCCACCCGGACCCGACCATGCGCTTCGCGGTGGCGACGCACGGGCCCCTGCATTTCGGCCTGCGGGCGACGGTCGCGGCGCAGCTCTTGGGCATGGCGAAGACGGTGCTCCCGGAGCTCGACGTCGACGACCTGCGGTACCAGATCTCCGACGCGCGCGTCTTCCGGTACTTCGTGTCCCAGGCCATCGCCGTGTTGCACGTGGGCCTGGACTACTGCGCGTTCTCCGAGGACGTCGGCTTCTACGTGGGACGGGAGACGTTCCACGGCGTGTCGGCGTCGACGCTGCTCTGGGCCCTCGCGCGCGACCTCATCCTGTACCTGTACCTCCAGGACGCGGAGGCGGGGAAGATCGTGCTCCTGGGCCTCTTCATGACCCTGGTCGGCGACTTCTTCAAGATCCAGCGCGTGCTGAAGCCGACGCTCGTGCTCCGGCGGTCGGGACTGCTGGTCTACCCGGCGTTCGTGACCGCGCCGCTGAAGCAGCCCAAGGCCAAGGCCACGGCCAAGTACGACGCCGAGGCGTCGCGCCACCTCTACCTCGCGACCTACCCGCTCCTCTTCGGCGTCGCGTGGTACTCGCTCGTCCACGACAAGCACAAGGCGTACTACTCGTGGGCCGTGTCGTCGCTCGCGGACCTGGTGTACTACTTCGGGTTCGTCATGATGACGCCCCAGCTCTACATCAACTACAAGCTCCAGTCCGTCGCGCACCTGCCCGTCAAGTCCTTCGCGTACAAGATCTTCAACACGTTCATCGACGACGCGTTCGCGTTCGTCGTCGACATGCCGCTGAAGCACCGGCTCATGACGCTCCGCGACGACGTCGTGTTCCTCATCTTCCTCTACCAGTGGTACACGTACCGCGTCGACAAGACGCGGGCCAACGAGTTCGGCCGCGCGTACGAGGGCGCCGTCGCCGACGCGGACGGCCCGGGCGGCGACGCGGCGGCCGTCCCGGACCCGAAGGAGGCCGTCGAGGAGGAGGAGGAGGAGGACGACGACGACGACGGCTACTGCGCCGACGGGTAATTTTGTTTTTGTTTGTTTCGGGGTCTGAAGAGAGGGGGAGCCTAGGGGGCCCATGCGACGCGTCGAGAGGGTGTTCGAGGCGCCGCGCGTTCACGTCCGGTGGCGCAAAGTTGCCAAAACGCTGGTGGTCGATTTCCAGGCCATCGCTTGGACATGCTCCTCCTCCGCAGATCAGCGCTGAGCGCCCGCGCCGCGTGCGCGCGGCCCGCGGTGGGCGCGAACCGGTGGGCGGCGCCCCGGGCATTCTCCCAGGTCCCGGAGAAGAACGATAGCACGGAAACGGAGTACGGCGGCGTGGCGACGTCGTGGAAGGAGATCGGGGACCGCATGGCCGGGGTGCGGCGCCCGGC